ATGGAAAACAAATTTGGTCTTGATGTAAAATTGGCAGAAGATTGTGGCTGTGAAACTGACCAGTCACAATTTTATGTCAACATTACAACATGGCAAAGACAGCGTGAAAATACAAGTGAAGACGAAAAGAATAATGTTAAGAATTTGACACACATTGGAAAAAATTTATTTTAGGCCATGATGTAGAATTGGCAGAAGATTGTGGCTGTAAAACTGATCAGTTGCAATTTCATGTCAAAACTACACCAAAGTCCAGTCAACAGCTTTGTTTGGTTTGTTGTAGGATTAAACACTGTAAGATGATTAGTTTACAGGTAGACAAGATAAAATCTTGATTGCAATCATAGCTCAGAAGTCACCTGTGGAAAGTCTACTACTTGGGCTGTGACAACTGTACACATGACACATGAATAGAACAATGGTGACACTAAATACAACTGGTAAGAATGGACAGACAGAGATAAGACAGCTTGACAGAAGTAAGCTTGAATATTTTGACATATTTCACATATGGGATGTAGTAAAAAATGAACTGCACAGAAGAAACCAGACAGAAAGCTCTTGGACAGGAACATACCTACAACGCTCATGTTAAAAGGTGTATATAAATTTTAGGCCATGATGTACAATTGGCCGAAGATTGTGGCTGTGAATGTGACTAGTTAGATTTTATTTCAATATTACATTATTATCTGTTTGGGACAGTGACATGCGACTTACATTTCAAGATGTTTTGTTGAAAATACTGCAAGGAAACCTTAGAGGTACTTACCCAAAGATATTTCCTGCATAGGTCTAATGGCAAATAGTCAATATCATCTATTTGTGTGCTGTATTTGCTTTCATCAACATATTTGACACCTGTCTGTTTTTCTCCAGGAAGACTGGAAAATTGGGTCAACAAAGTACGTATAGTAATCATTTCAAATCTGAATGAAAGACAAGAATCTACATTAAAAACCTTGTAACATATTTAAATTATCAGCATTAATTTTTTAATATAACAGAAATAAAATCTACATAACACACTGAAGTCTTAGGTTGTTGTTGTTTTTTTCAATATTCATACATAGATTAACCAAGTTACATTTTAGTATTTTATCTTTGAAATGTACAGATAATTGTGGTGTATAACAAAGATATCTGATATCTGATAAGCACATCTGGGTATATATTCAGAAAACTGTAACCTTAAAACTCTTATATCTACAAAGATATCTAGTAATTTCCAACATGTTCACCATTAGTCTTCCAACAGTCAACATGAAATAACACATTTAATTATTTCAAAAAGACCATAAAGAAGAAATCCAAAAAATTAGGAAAAAAATAGGAACTCGACACCCTTTTCTTTTCACCTGATATTGTGCATTCTAAGTATCTTCTCCAGTTTCTTGATCCTCTGTTGTGCAGCTCTGTAGTCTTTGATATCAGGCCTTGAGAAAGAAAATGTTACACTCTCTCTTATTTATCCATTTCCCACAGTCTCAAATACCATCTTGAAAATAAAATGTTACACTCTCTTATTAATCCATTTCCCACAGTCTCAAATACCATCTTGCCAATTGCAATCAAAACATTGAAATGCCTAAGAAGAAAACAAACAAGCCATTGCATTTAATAGGTACTTGTAAAATAGCAAAGTAAAGTGATTGGTGAAAAAATCTGCTGACTCAGGTATTATGCCGGGCAAATCTGTAAGTTTGAATGAACAGAAAGTACCAACAACTGAAAATCAAATGCTACCATACACCAACCTGGCATCAAGTTCTAATTTCAACACCTCAGACTGATCTTCTAAAGCTTTATACTTTTTCTTGGATTCTCTAAGTTGTTTCTCATATGCCTGTATGAGAGCTTTATAGTTTCCAGTGGCATCAAATGCTGTCTCCTGTTTATGTTCTCCAGCAGGCCTGAATTCAGTAAAAAAATTGCTACATCTTTCCATCAACTTTTCCATTTACATTTCACTTTGAATTATATTTCAGCCTCCCAACAGCTAAAAAAGAGAGCAAAATGGGAAAATAACAGAAACCAACTTTGGAATAATAAAATAAAGGCTATTAAGGAATCATGGCAAAACCTACCGAAGCATATCCAACTCCTTCCTCAATGTGAATATCTGGCCTTCATATGCATCAATCACATCAAGGAGTCTGCAAGGACACATGTCAAACAACGGAAACACTGGATGAAATATGCTGATAAAGTTTGCACGATAGTTTACTACACTACGATTTCTGGTACAGCTAATTTCACAGTTGTTAACTGAAGTAAACTAGTTAAGACTGAATGTAGGCAATTTCCCCATGGATCAAATTTCAATGAATTCAAAGTTAACATGCGCAAAAATGTTGCGTAGAATAAATACATATAATAAACAATGGTTTCTCACTTTTCATCTATTTTGGACTGTGGCCTTGTGGTTTTTCTCCTGAACTGTTGGAAGACCTCTTTCTGTCTCATCTTTCTGGCCTCATCCTGCACAACAAAAACCAAACCATGACATCTTCCCAACTAAAACCATGCCTCGTTTACATGCAGATCAAAGTTAAGTCTATTGCAATGTTTAACAATTATAATATTGACTCCCAACAAATTATGCTGTTAGAGCTCAAATAGGACTATGTTCATCAGAAAAAAAATAGCTTCTTAGTCCAATAACAAATCCATTGAAAGTATCCATTGAAGATAGTCACCTTATCTGGAAATCATGACAAAATTCTGAAAAAAATTCTAATTCATTTTGCTGCTGTGATGAACGCCACAAGATAGTACTATGAAGTAAAAATAATCAAAGGGAATCATCATTTAATATTCAGTACAATATAAAAGCCCTAGATCTTCTGATGGTACATATATCAAAGATGGTAATATAGTAACTTGTAAATAAAATGATCAGAATATAAACCTCGTCATTCATCCTTTTTATTTTCTCAGTCAATCTGTCCATTTCTTCCTGCTGTAGGGCACACTTGCTCTCCAGCTGTTTACACCTGATGTGGATGGCAGTCTTGGTGTTTTTCAGTCTCTCTCCCTCCTCCTCAAGCACATGGTTCTTGCTGCTGTGGCTGCCCTCAAGGTCCTGTGAATAAGATGACGTGAAAAGAAATTTGCATCAAAGGAATAAGTAGTCTATGATGGCTTCTGTAAGTAAACTGATCAAATTTATAGAAATTACCTACTGATGAGACATATAGAAGAAAAGGGGCTGGAAACAGCACTTATAAACTGTGGTGGGAGATTTTCATTGCAGATAATCGGTTCTTTTTACAAAGAGAGGTGTACAAAAAAATCTCAGGGTGTCTCAGGATGTAAAAACAAGCAACATAATTATATCAGTCACTTAGTTTACCCTTCACCAGACACATGACAGCCTTGACTACAAAAAGCAAGCCTTAGAAGGATTGAATAGCAAGCAACTGATAAATAAATAAATAAATCTTTATTAATGATGTCTAAAAAATCATAATTATCATTACAGTTAAATGTTTATTTTTGTTTTATTTAATTTTTGAGTCAACTTAAAAATTTGTTTTCGAAATCTAAGATAGTCTGCGAAATGAGGATACTGACTTTTGACCACCAAATACCCCTGCCCTCACCCCCTCCTCAAAAGGACATGAAGCCCATGCCCCAGTCACCTGTATCTTGCACTGCAGGCTCTCCACCATGATCTTAAGGTCTTTGATCTGGTTCTCATAGCCATCACTGAGGCTACTCTGGTGGCGCAGGTCTTCTCTGAAGAACATATATTAAATCTTAAATTTAGAATTTGAAAGTACATCCAGTCCCCATAAATGCTATTATAAGGTATGCCTTGGCTTTCGTGAGAAAAAAGTTTATGTTTTAGAGAAAATAATTTTTTTTTTTTGTCGTATAACCATCTTAATGGGTAAAAGCCACTATTATAACACACTGCACTTAAGAAAATGTGCATGCCTAAACAAAAGTTAGAAATCAGATAATTAAATTTTACAAATCAAATGATATTTGAGAGAAAAATATACTTAATCCAGTTGGTTATTATTTAGTACGAGACTTACCTGAGCTGGAAATAACTGAGTACAAGATTTTTGACTTATTTGAGCTAGATACAACTAAGTATGAGATTTTGGACTAACTTGAGTGGGTTATCAGAGTTATTAGTGAGTATGAGATTTTGGATTAACTTGAGCTGGTTATTGGTGAGTATGAGATCTTGGACTTACTTAAGCTGGTTATTGGTGAGTATGAGATCTTGGACTTACTTAAGCTGGTTATTGGTGAGTATGAGATCTTGGACCAGCTCCTGTCTTCTGTCACAGTCAGACATTAAGGTGAGGAAGCTCTCACGGAGAGATTTTGTCATAGCAGCATCAAGGACAACAACCCCTGGGATAGGATACAAAATATAATTTCAATAAATACTTAAATATTAAATGAATGAAATCCTGTAGTAGTTCCCATTTTTATCCCAGTCTGACCTAAGAGTGGAGGAATTTTCATGAAGAAATGTAGTCATTACTTAACCAAGGATAGTCACTGGGTTATAAACTAAAAGCATTTTCAAAGAATTTAACTACATAATAATAAAAACATAAGATAATATATAAAATAAAATAAATTTGAAAAATTGCCAAAATTATCTCTGTATCATTATTAAGCAATTCAAATGATTCAAGATCTACATACAATAATCAAACCACTGCTTAAGATCAAGATTATTATTCAATGAAATTTGCTGTAAAACAATTACTTATAAAGATCGACTGCCTTTCCAGTTCCTGTAAACAACCAACCTAGCACTGACTAGCACAGGTTGAGCACAAAAGACAAAAATATTTCAACATGAAACCTTCTCATGGATCAGTGCCACCCATGTTTGTGTTACCTGGTATGTTGCCCACTTCCCCAGGATGTATGAGGTGTATTGGAGGAAAACCATGGTGCCGGAGTTCTCTGTTCACTTCTTCCCATTCTTCATACTCTACCTGAAATCAGGAGATAATTGATCAATGAAATATATAACCTAGACTCTAATGAATATTTACTACATTTTATATAAAAATCTGAGGTCCAGCGTCAGTTTTTTTAGGACTGTTTTGATCCAGGAGGACAATAGTCTAGTACCTAAAATATATAAAAGTATAGTCCAATCAAGTCTCACTTATTGTCATAACTAATATTTGAGTAAATTCTATTATAAAAGAATTAAATTTGAGGTGCCACTCTTAAATCTGTGTCACCCAAATTTTTCAACTTGGGTACGTACGGCATCACTGTTACTCAGACAATACCTTTGAAAATCTGGTCTGAGCAACAATTTTGGGTGACACTGTCAGGTTTCAAATTTTTAGTAGTCTAATAGATCACATGGAAAAATCAGATAAAGTTTGTAAGCCCATGGGTGTTTTCACAATATGCAGTCCAACATTTACCCTAAAATTTCTGGTGGTCCACACATAGATATGTGCTTGGTGAGATCTGGGGACTTCCTCCATTTAAACATGAAAACTTCACAGATTTTTCTATATGATAAAGACTCCAACGGCTAATTCAAATTAAGATTTTCCTAATTTTGTGCAACAAAACACAGAAATTGTCATAAAATGACGACTGGCTACAAACTTCCAATTCACTTTCCTTTCAATGGAAATTCTTGGACGTTATTCCAAATTTCACAAATAGT